CATTTTCTTTGTTACATAAATAATGTTTATTTTCATTAATAATTAAATATATATATGGTAGTGGGGGAACAGGAGGCGTCGTTTCGGGAATCAGCCGAAGATAAACTTCTTACTTCTTAGCTCAGCGGTAAATGGGCGAGAGGGTAAGGAGTGGGGGAATGGGCCAAAAATGGCGCAGAGGTGAGAATACCTACATCTTTAGAATACCTACATCTAATCTCGGGAATCGGCCCGAAATGTGCAACTAATTCCGAGCGCTGATTTAAATGAACGTCTCCCTCATTTGATTTTTTTGCCAAAAGAATGTCTTCAACATATAAAACAAAATCCAATTTTTCATCAATTAAATTTTGAAAATTTGATGATGAGTTGTTTGAAGAAGTTTAGGACTCTGGACTTGGTGACAAAACTTCCATTATTTTTTGAGTCTTGAGAAATTTAATTTTTACAATACAGTTAGGTGCGATATCGTCGTCTTCTTCAACATCCACATATAATGATACTTCTTAGACAAAACATTGTAATATTATTGTGCTGCCATTAATTTTATCATAAAGATGAGAGTCCTTTTTAGCCGCCTTAATTAAACTTTGGCAAAGAGCTTTTGCATCTCCCAGTGCACTATTAGATGTAAACTTTATTTTTTTTACTCTTCCTTCACCAATTTCACAAAAAACAGTCTTTTCGTTAGTAGACATTCCGAATAAATAATGATAAAATATTCAAACTTTAATTCTGGTCGTCCTTAGCAACGACTCTCAATGCACTTCACAATTCATCAGCTGTTTGTCATATAAAAATTGATTAATTTTTTTTATTGCAATTAGTCATGCAATTCGAAAGATATAAATGTAATATGTGTGCATCCCAGATAACAATACGTGAGGGTTCATTTTGTACGCACGCGTGCTTATCACGTCGTGCGTGCAAGAACGCCAATTACATTGCACTCACAACATGACGGAACCACAGATGCGAGTGTAAAAGATATCCCTGTACAATCACGTGTGATGGGGGCATATATGCGAGCATAAAGGTCATTGTGTACTGTCGTATACGATTATAAAAAAATAATAACGAAATTTACCGTGAGTTTGCATTACTTTCACTCGTGATTATCACGTCATGAATGAAAGAACGACATCACGTTGCCCTCACGATGTGATGGCACACATATGCGAGCATAATGTATGTACCCAGATAGCACAGATTATTCTACGGATATTCTATGTTGAGACTAATATTCTTTTGAGAGAATATTCGTACGGAACATTCATAGAATATCCCTAAAACATTCAAAATTTTGACGAACATTTTGAATGTTCTAGGAATATTCAAGAATATTTAATGTTTTCAAAGAAGCTTTTAACGTACGCCTGCAGAATACGCCTGAATCGCAATCGCTAGTCATATTGTTCCGCCTTCCCACGTTCCTGTCTGGACGACACGTGAATGATATACGTGAATATTCTTTGACATACACTCTATGCTATATCACACGTGGACGTGGCTCATTTTATGTGGCGAACTGAAAGTGTCCGTTAAGCAAAGTTAGAGAAAGCAAGATTTCCCGAACGCTGACCGTGCTATAATCAACTAAGTTACGATTTATTATTTAGGTTAAAAAAACATGTACTTATATTTATATATTGTATGTGTATTGTATGTGTATTTGTAATTTTCTTGATTTTATTATATTATTATTTATCATTATTATATGTATATATTACCATTCAATTAATTATATTATTATTATTTATCTTTTAAATATATATAAGTAGAAGCATGATAAAGCGCAAGTGTTCAAAGGCAACTTTTTACAGAAAAGTAAGGCATAATACTGCTATTGCGTTAGAACTTTCCCAACTGCATAATACTGTAAATAGCCCTAATAATATTGACAGCGATAGTAGCAGTGAAAACACAGATAATGATTTACTTATTACTGATAATGATATTGATATTCCAGAACATATTTCCGAAGGAAATATTTCTGACAACAGAAGCGATTATGATAACTCACCAATGTCTTGTAACAATTCAGAAGAAAGCTTAAATTCTTCAAATAGCACTGATGTAGATAACAACATCGA